GGAGGATTGTGCTAAAACATGAAAAAAAACCCAAAGCTGGTATCTTTAAGGTATTATGTGCACTAAACTAGAGCAAGCTGAGCATAAATGATCTTTTGTGCCATCCTCTTCCACTCTCCCTATGGGATAATGGTAAATTTTCAAGTTAAAAAGGTTGGCTCAGGTCAAACTTCAGGGGACTTACAGCCAAAATATGAAAACAAAATGCCAAAAACCCTGGCACCATGAGGGCCCAGCTATCAGAACTAATTTACCCCCACAAATATTTTAACATTTCATAGTTTCAGTGGGAAACAAAGATCCATGAAAACTGAAGACATCCTTAGGGTCAACAGATCCATGGGAGCTTGCTATTTGCCATTTTAAAGAAGGAAAATCTGCAGCACTGGTTCATGGATTTACACTGCCCTGTAAGGATTGTGTAGGTCTCCAGCCTCAAAGAAGAAAAGCTTAAAGACCAGGATGGCAGACAGGACATTAATCAGAAGTTGTATCAAACAGCTCTTTGTAGGAAGAAACACTTCCTAAAGGAAAATGGAAGAAAATTATTTTCCACAGAGAAAGAAAAGAATATTGTTATTTGTAAGAAAATATATCAGAATTCCTGCCATTTTAATCAATGGTTTCAAAAAAAAAAAACAACCAACCTTTTTTTAAGCAGTTTTACAGTGTAAACTCTGATCTACCTGCTCTAGGAGATGCTGGTATTTTTGTTTACCAGAATCTTTATATAGTTCAATATCTTAATAGTGTGTGACCAGAGTGAAGGCAGAGATTGACAGCTAGTCAATGAACTGATGAATATCTCCCTCATAAGCATTTCATTTAGCTACCCATGCAGTGTGCATTCTGCCTTTATACACACATTCCAGTGCCATTATCTCACACTTAATTACTTGGGTCTCAAAGCACCTGACGAAGGAATGAGCCACCATTATCAACATTTCATGTACAACAAAGCCCAGGCAGAGAGGGGTAATTTGCTAAAAGTTACTGCACTAAATATCCAAGGTCAGTGGAAAGGAAAGCTCTTATCAGGTGAGCCCTGCAGCCAGCAGAGCACACTGCCTCTCCAGATGTGTGCTGGGGAAGCATCTTTAATGATCTGCACCAGGCACGGCAAAAGAACCTAAAATTCCACTTGCGTGACAGCAAACAGTAGTGTAAGAATTAAAAATTAATCTATTGACACTTTATCTGTCAAGCACTGGAATATTGCATTCAGCTTTCTTTGGAGAGGGCAAACACCAGGCCACCATGAGATGACTTTGCTGACAAGTCTGCCCTGGTCATTCCTCACCTATTTTTAAACCACTTCCAATTACACCCATTGTCTCAGATAGGCTCAACTGTACTTATTCTTTCATAATTGTGGTGGCCTCTTGCAAAACGTTAATCATGCTCAGATTTTCTATCAGTCAAGAAATTACAAAGCCTGTTCAGTTCTCAGTCTGGTTTTTTACTTCATGTTTTAAAACCCCTCAGGAGGCACTCAGCAAAACCATCAACAGCTTGAGATTTGATGACAAAACACTCAAGAGTCAAAACTAACCCTTCATTTTCCATTGAGCAATTCTATGTACACGAGGAGCAAATAAACACACCCTTGTTTGTAGAACTTGGGATGTTTTCAATGGCTGTATGTCCAAGTAAAGGTCCCAGAGCTGAATCAAACAAGCTGAATGAAATTCATTCACTCCCATGTCCAGCTCAGGTGGCCACCAGGCCTTGAACAAGATTGCCAGGACAACTAGTGAATATCAATGACACCAGCACTGCAGCAGAACTCATTCTTGGCACTGGGTTTTACCTTCTCCCTTTTTTGTTACAGGTTTTCCCTCCCTTTCACAAATGGGACAAATGTGGATGACAACTTCCAGACAAGTTCAAAAAGTGGAAAGAAATCCAGCTTGCAAGTTTACATTGTAATTGATATAAGTCTATTATTACAAGACAAATTGCAGCAGACAGTGCAGAAGACAGCTCAATCTGTTACCGAGTCCCTGCAATGGCTGCATGAAGAACTCGACCATCTCACCCATAAATCTTTCTCCTAAGTTTGCATTGCTGCTTGTGTGGGAAAAATAATAAAACCTTGGAGTGACGTGTACAAGGGAGGCAGTAACACTTTTCTAAACACAACTGCATTAAGTTTGTTACAGGAGCCCTGACCCTTGCAGCATCTCAGCAGGATTGTGTCGTGTCCCAGGCTGCAGAAACACCCCATGACTCCTTTAAAAAGTCATTAGCTGCTCTCATTAGCTGCTCTCGTGCCAATTGTGAATAAACATCTCTGCTGAGAGGGCTGTGAGGCACTGGGCTGCCATCAGCCATCCTGGAGGATCCATCACAAACTTTCTTCAGACAAAACTTCATTTCCAGGACAATTGCCTACTCCCTGCCTCAATGGCAAACATTAACTCCACAAAAAGAATGATTAGAAGATTCCCGAGATGTATGTTCCCATTTATTTCTTAGAGTAATTGAATTTAGTCATATTTTTATAGTAATTTGTCTATTGTCTGTAGTTCACAGCACCCAGCAAGGAAACCATGAGAGCTGCTGCACAAGTGAAACTGCAGAATCAGCTGCCAACACTGATGACAGAAACAGAGAAGAAAATCAAAAAGGTTGGAGAGGGGGAGATATAAAATGGGATACATGAAGCAATTTTGCTGAAATGAGCTCAAGTGCAGCTATGAAATGCCTGTGGTTCCTCCTCTGTCAGGAGACTGACAGGAGGCCACAATACCAGAAGTGACAGAAGCCAAGATTACAAATGTGGGAAATGGATTTATAGAAAATTCTCAAAGCCTGACAAAAACTCACAAAATATACATCTATATACAAACCTTAAAATGAAAATTACTAACTTAAAAATATCATAAAATAAAACAAACATTATTAAAACAATTAAACTGAAAACAAGTTTCAAAAATAGCCTTACAAATAAAACTAGATACTTAAAAAAAATACAATTATAAAAAATACATTATCATAAAACCCACACAGAATAATTTTAAATCATGAACTTTAAAACATTTACAGCATTATAACTAAAACTAATAAACAGAAAAACATTTATAATCTATTATAATTAAAAATTAATTAAGCTGCTCTTATAACAATTGGTGGTACCAAGTGCCAAATCCACCTCAGAATCATAGTGATGGACTCCTTAACTCTTTGAAAGGAAGAAAGAAACCACCTCTCAAGCATTAAATCCAAGCTACTTTAAGAGCAATATTCAAACATCAGCCAGGAAAACTGGAGGCTGTTAGTCCCACAGTACATCTCTCCTTCCTTTTGCTGCACCAATATGATACAAAGATCAGAAGAATCTGACTGGAGGCACCTGCAACAGTTAAGAGGCCTTACACTCTAAATTACCTAGCTTTTGTTAGGCAGGTGAATGGTCCATAACACTCTTCCTGAAAGAAGGTTTTTCCCTTCAGAATTCAATTTATAAACTTGCTCCTGCCAGGCTGCGATAGCGGCTGCGGTACCAACCTGAGAATGATGACTCCTGGAATTCCATTCAAACCTCAGCAGTCAGTGGGGAGCAGACAAACGAGCAGAGATAAAAGTTCCACCCAGGTGCAAAGAGCAGGGACTGCAGGATGCCCCTCATTGTTTTTACAGGGGCTGCAGTCACCAGCCTGTGAAACAGAGACTGCACAATCCCCTCGCAGCTTGAAAACCTGACCTGGGCTATCCACAAGCTGGGAATGCCTCAGCTCCACAGGTATCTCCAAGCAAAAGGAGCCTCAAAAGACAATTTATTATGGCAAGGACAATTTATAATTTGCTGAGATATATTCCATTTGGTAATAACTTATTAGGAGGCCTTTTTGGAGACTGTGATCCTGCTTACCTTGAAGCAGCAGCTCTCCTGTAAGTTAATCACAACCAGGCTGCCTTGGTGTCACCCTGGCTCACCTCAACTCACCCACATAAACTTGTTTTTGTGGGCAGTAAAGAAATACCCAATCACAGCTCAACTGAACTGAAATTGTCTGCAGGCAGCAGCAGCTCCATTGTAAATAGCTCTGCCTTTTATTTATTGTTATAGTCCTTCTCACTCACACTGCCTGACAGACAAGCCAGGTGAGGACACGAACATATTAGAATTTAAAAAGGAAAAAACGAAATACTTAAAAATCTGCCTTCCTTTGAACAAAACACAATATGCTTCAGTTGAAAAGGAAATTATCATTTGCCTAATACAAAAGAAACCCTTTGTCCCAATCACAGCCTACTCTGAAGGAATGACTTTCTTCCCTCCCTTAAGAAGCCAAATGGATGCAGTGCTGTAATTTTGGAGAGCTTTACACAGTGTGTTAAATTACAAGACAACCCATTGTGGGTTTATCAAATTGTGAGCCAGTGTGTGAGACAAAAAAGATTCTCATTGAGAGTGGGTGATAGAGTCTAAGTCACACAAAATTCAGACTATAGTATGCTAGAACACAGTGAAATGAAAGATTGGTGCATATATTATTCCAGGAATACTATGAAATATTTGGTAGTGAGCTGTAAAACCTTCCTAGGAGATGCACAAAAAAAACATCCCATGAACAAATACAGTGGTTCATTTGCTGCATTCTTCACCTACTGCCCACCTGCTTTGACTCAGAATTTCCTCTCACAAAGGTAAAAGCAAGGCTGAGAAATTCACTAAGAGCACCACAGGAGCATTCAAGTTGAGCAGCAATAGACAGACACTCCCCTGGACACCACTGCTGGTATTCAGTGATATCATCCACCACAGACACTCACTCATCTGATACCAATCAAATTAAATTTTCATCTTGCTTTGTTAAAATTCAATACCAAATTTAAAAAAAAGAGAGCATGATCAAATAACCATTTAAAAGTGCAGCAAAGACACCTTTAATTTTAAGGCAACATTAATAAAATATTATTCTTTTAACAATTACTGTTGAAGTCATATTTTATCCAAACACCAGATGCCCTGGAGACAATTGCCATGCACTCACCATACTGGCAGCGAGGCCCCTGGAATCCTGCAGGACACTGGCACACCTGGGACCCTTCTCCAGAGCACTTCCCTCCATTGAAGCAAGAGCCAGCAGTGCAGAGCACTAGAGCACACAAACAGAATGGGACAGGCTGTTTCAGCTGATTTGGTGCCAGGGATCCTCAGAACTGCCTTTCTGGCTCAGTCCTGTTGCAACATGACCTTCCAAATAAGAAGAAACCCAGATTTTTACTGAAGAGCAAAGGCTGGACTGCAGCAGGACTTGGAACCATACATGTAACTACCTTGTTGATATGAAGAAATTTAATAAAAGTGAGACTTAGATATTTCAGTTTAACTTGAAGGTGCTTCAGAGGCAGAAGACAGGACTCAAAGCACTGCCTGAATCCAAAATAAAATAAGAAAAACTGCCAGACAACAATGGAGGAATGGTTAAAAACCACTGATGCACTGGGAGATATTATATATGTGGAGGGGAAAAGGGAATTACAATTCTTCCCTTCCTCTACCACACAACAGTTTTATTTACAACAATTTAAATTCCACATGTTTGAGCCAAACTTGCAAAGAGTGTCAAATACAAAAGAGTAATTCAACCACTTTGGTGCCTTAAAGAATTCAAAGCAAGTCTACACTGCTATTTCATGAAGAAAAAAAATTTAATTTTGCCACTGGTGCTCACATACCTTAAACTCCTTTACACCAGAGAGATTCAAAGCAAGTCTGCACTGCTATTTCATGAAGAAAATTTAATTTTGCCACTGGTGCTCACATACCTTAAACTCCTTTACACCAGAGATTAAAACACAGATTGTAAACATATTTTTGACTTCTTACAACTAAACAGGTGCACACTAAATAAGCAGATTCAGGCTGAAGCTAACAGGAATACCTCTCAGGCTTGTTCTTGTGTTTTAACTACAAAGAGACAACCATAAAAGCAAGCTCTCTGAATGCAGCCCTGAAGTTGGTACAAAGATTAAAAAATAAATAAGAACAGATGCTAACTTTCATATAGCAAACACAATTACTGACTAAACAGTAACAAAACTAAACACTGAGTAGGTTGCCATCTTCTACTGATGTCTTGTTAACAGTGGCTGAAGTGCTGCCTTATCATTTAAATTAAATTCCATCTTTTAAAAACATCCAATCATTATTAGAAATTGGTGATAGAAAAGGGTTCTCATCAGATGGAGAACCACAGGGTAGAAATAAAACTGCCTCAATGGCACCAGTACAAGGGAAAATGCCAAAACCAGTCCGACTCCACAGTGAGCGCTACACCCAAGAAAAGTGCCTCACAGCAGATTTCTCTGCATAATTTGGGTAACAGCAATAAATTTGGTTGGCCTGTCAAAGCCAGGCTGGCACAAAAAGTGCTGCAGCAACTCCAATTAGAGTTTAGACTTTTAATCTAAATTGTGTGGATTAAAATTAGAGCTATTTGCTGCTTTTACATGAGCGCTTTTATATTTTCAAAGGACATTTCCTCCCCCATCACTGGGGAAATGCCAGTTATAAACGATAAGAAGCAAAACCTTTGTATCTAGAAGTGGGGATTCAGTAGGAAGGCACGGCCTGAGGATGTCACCTTGTGGTTTTGTCCCAGTTTTGTCCCAACTCACAGTGCAGACAGCCGGGTTCATTGTCCTGCTGGGCCCAGCCGGGGCAGCACTTGTAGACAGTCTGCTGCTCCATCCTGTACACCTGCTTGTAAACCGTGTAGTAGCCAGACCTGTGGGGAAAGGAAGGTTAGGAGAGCAACCACAGCTCCCATTCCACTCACTCGCACCTCACCAGCAGCACACTGTACTTGTATGTCATATTTAGGAGACTTTTTTTCAGCCTCCATCAGGACTTCTCGTTAAAAACGAAGCAAAACAGCAAACTGCATCCTGATAACACCCAATACCTCTGACATGCTGTGTCCACACATTATTTTAAAGAATTTCTATTCAGGCTACTCAAAGGTGAATTTTTTTTTCTTTTTTTTGCAATCAGTTTTGGGTTTAGCTGTTGGGGGAGTCAGATCCCCCATCAGTTCCAAGCATGTGACAGAAATAGAAAGAAGTTCAATTTTTCAAAGTCAACGCCTTGACAGCTGGGCTTCACCTGCACAAGAACAAGACAGGAACATTTTCTGATAGTGTGAAATTCTGAATCTAAAGCCAGCCATGAAGCTCATGAGCAACGCAAAACACATTAAAAAGTCACATTTTCTACTCAGCAATAACAGATTTCAAGTCAAATCTCAGGAGGACACTATGTCCATAACCACACATATCAGATGAAACAGTTGACAACTTATCTCCCAAAAAAGTTAAAGAACTTGCACAAAGATTAGCAACAAAACCCATTTATAACAATAGATAGTACATTACCTTCTCTCATAGCTCACACACCACCTCCTCTTGGTGCAGCCTTGCTTCCACATCTTGACCATCCGACTGAAGGACTGAATGCAGGGCTCCTGGTGCCCCACCAGAGCCAGCTCCAGCACTGGGCACACATTGGGCCTGCGGGGGCAAAGAAAAAAAATTTTTTTTATTTCTAATACCAAATTTAGACATCTAGAGAAATACACATAAAACTCTGCTGGGTGTAAGAGTTTGAACCAGGATTTCTACTGGTGTTGGAACACACTGCAGGTCCAAGCCTTAGAAGGCAGCAGGTGAACAGTGCACTGAAATTCAGGATCCACACAAGTCAATAAAAGATTTACCACAGATTCCAGGGCAGATAAAATTTATCTAAACTATTGCTAGGGAAATTGTATATTCTGTAAGAGCCCCCCTCGCTATCAGTCCCCTCAGGGAAACACATGAAATTGGTAAGAGGAAGTATCCTTGTTCTCTGCTGATTATTCCTAAAATAACAAGACCAAAATAAAAGCGCTGCTTTGGAGGATGATATGTAATCTTCATCCTACTACCAAGCCAGAGTTACAAAAATAGCAGGATTGCAGGAGGTATGGAGGGTCAAAAAAAAGGTTACATGCTGATGGTTTTGCAGAGATTTTGTCTGCCTTATCCCAATTTCTTTGCCCTGGTATAAATCAGGAAATTCTGCATGACAGAAAACAATGGCAGCAACATTCAAGGTCTAAATAAAACCATAAAGAATGAGGAGTTTTGTCATCTTTGAAGGCAGGAACCTGTTGTGACACGAATGAAATTAACTCACTGATTTTTTTTTTAGTAGTTTATAGATTGTTAGTGCAATAATTTAATCACCAATTCCCCAGGACAGCCTGGTGAGGCTTTGCAAGCACAAGCCTCAGTAACTCAAACACGGGGGGAACAGGGACCTTCTATACCCACCCTGGCAACAACACCATTCAGCAGGCAAGTCCTTCCCCAAATTTCAGTCTGAGCACTCTCCAAGCTAGAGAGTGATCACATAACACACTTGTTTCCTCTGTCACAGGTAGGAACATGACCCTGTGCTAGAAAACCTAGGGGTGGCACTAATAAGAGAGCAGTTCTAGCCCAAGAGCTGCCTGGCAGCTGGTCATCATCACTGACAGTGGACATTATTCACCTCTCATTCAGGATTTATGGTGTTTTTTAACTCCTATGAAGCCTGAACACCACACAAGGTAGCCTTGCTAACGAGAGAACAACTTTCACCCACAGGTCTTCAAGTAGTTTACAAATATCATTAAATTAAGCCTTCACAGAACCAAAAAACACTATAACCATGATCCATTTTCCTGCTGAGCTGAACACTTGGAAGAAGCCCTGCCTGGATCAAATCCCACAGGATTTGACTGGACAACAGTGCCGGTGCTGTGCAGAATGCTGACACCACCCCATGGAGAATGGCACACCCAGCCAGGTCTCCCAAAGCCACCACAGCTGCCAAGGGAGCACCTGGGACATCCTCTCAGGGTAAAGAGGACCTCTGCCCAACAAGGACGCTCCAGGAGGAGGAACAGAGCAGATTTAAGCACAACCCAAACCCTCAGGAATTCAGGCAGCCAATGTAAAGGAAGGCAGGAGAAGAAAGCCCAGAGCTGTAAGCTCTCCTTGTCCCATATCACCATGGAAAAAAGTAAAGAGTCCTTTTGTACTGGAACACCTGACCTTGGCAGAAGTTACTTTCCTGAACTAGAATATCTGTTTCTCCCAGGCTTTAGAGCATTAGAGCAGTCATCATCATCCCAAAACACATTGCCAGGGGACATCCCTCCATGTTCTTCCTCCTCTATTCCATACTCAATATTGCTCCGTATTTCCCATTCCTCAGGTCTGCTCTGGGTGCCAACACCTCAGAGCAGAGCAGGAGATGGTCACAGCCCAGTTCTAGATTGCCTCAAATTCCTCAAGCAACCAGCCTTCCCCCTCATTCCCAGTGTCATCTCCATTATTTAGCAATCCTTCCCATGTGTCCCAGCTACCCCTTCCCTCCAGAATTACCTCTCCATTTAACATATTTAGCTGAAGTTCAGAGCCATTGTTCCCAAGCCATTCTTAGCACAAAGTCTGCCATTTGTTTCCCATCCAAAGAAGATCTTTGTGTGCCCAAAATCTTGCCTGTTTTTCCTCCTTTCCATTACGTCAGTTGGTCTAATAAAACCCTTGCCTTACTTAGCAACCATGCCTCACTTAGCAGGCTTTTTTAAATGGCTCTCCCTCCAGTGAATAGAACATCATGTTCTGATAATTCATGCATATCTCCTTTTATTAGAAATGCCTAAAACTTTCCAGATAAAGGTACATTCATATGCATCGCTCTTCCATAAATAAAAGAGGGGAGCTGACAATGGTTGTAATGACACACTGAGCCCATCCCACAAGTTCCTCCTCATGTGATATTGCCATGTTTCCAGGAATAGCAGTATTGACTTCTAGGATATGGTTAATGGGAACAAATGACGCTCACAGAACAAAACAAGCCAGCAGCAGAGTCATATGTTTATGAAGATTTATTCAAAGTAAGCCATTCCTCCTCGATGCCCTTGGGATAATTTAAAGGCAGATATCAAAACTGCTGAAACACTATAATTAAATTGCAGCAATTGCATAACATGTAATCCTGTGCTGGCAAAGCTGGGAATCAAACATGCCCTCTCCAACAATTCAGCATCCTCACAGCTCCCACACACAGTCAACACGGCAGTTTTTGAGCCATCTGACTCACTTGAGACCTCCAAACCTCAGAGCAGCTCCTGGAACAAGGCTACAGCTAGTGAAGGTACAATTGATCTGCTAATTAGGGACCATCCAGGACTAAGCTGAAGGCCCAAGTGGATGTAGTGGTATATCAGAGAACAGCTCCTATTTTACTGCCGTGCCCTCTGCATTCAGAAGATGTTTCTTAACAGGAGTTTAAGTGTTAAAACAAGCAAAAGACTCAAAGGCATATTATGGGCCACGATTTGATTGATACACCAGTCCCTTTAAACCTTTTTGCACTGGTGCTCTGTGCTAGCCAAGGCTAACACCAAGGCTATTATTAGCTTGTCAGTCTGACTCAGGCAAGACAGAAAGCTCTCTTAATATTTGCATTAGGAGACTGCCCTTTAAACAAAGACACCCTACACACTTCCAGCTCAAGACTTGAGATTCTAATGAACAGATAATTAGACCAACACGGAGCAAGAGCAGCCTGGGCTAATCATATGGCTGTGGTGCCTGTGAACCACTGCGCAACGGGAAAAGTTCAGAGAAAATTAAAAGCATCTCCAGGCGGGATGTAATTCATTCCTGTGTTTGGAATTTTAAAAAGAAAATGAACAGATCTACCACAAAATCACAGAATGGTTTGAGTTGGAAAGGACCTTAAAGATATTCAGTTCCAATCCCCTGCCATGGGCAGGGTTACCTTCCACTGTCCCAGGTTGCTCCAAGCCCTGTCCAACCTGGCCTTGGACACTTCCATTTGTAAAGGTCCATCATATCTCTGTGATAGGGACATTTTCTTTTTCTGCCCATCACCTGGAATGCCAAAGTAGATCTTTCATTCTACCCATCTACTTTTTCCCAGCTCAATACAAGAAGCTGAAGGTAGATTTAACAGCAGTGGGAGAGCAAACACACATCAAGATATCCCTAAAGATTCCTTTCAACAGCACAAACTTTAAATCAAAACATTAACGAATACGAATTTGGCTGTCTGATTTCAGGTCTTTCCACAGAGACTCCCTGAATGACACCACCTTCTACACTAAGGCAGACAGCTGTTAGCATCTCCCTAAAAATGAGATGTTGCAGCCTGCATTGCCTCAGCTGACGAATTTGCAGCCTGAACTCTATTGATCTTCCCATAAATCAATCAATAGATGAAACCTGTCATAAGGAGCGACTTGCTGGAATCCTGTATTTTCAAAACACTAATTGGTTGCTGCTCCTTCCCCTTACGCTGTTATTAAAAGTTTAGAAAACCACAGTCTGCTTACTCAGTTTTAGTTTGAAAAGATCAAATAAGAGTTTTCTTAAGGGAACCAAGAATACAGTCAGGGCTAAATTCTCCACTGCTGTGATGATAACTGGTTTTGCACTAGAGATACACTGATGTTGATCTGAAAATAGCTGTACACTGCTACAAAGGATTTGGTTAGGAACTTTTCAGGTTAACTGTCTGAATCCCCTCACATCTCCAACATCACCATTGTCTTATAAAAAAGACCTCTAGAAAGACAAGGTGGCACTTTTCAGAAACATGTGGCACAGCAGAGGAGAAACAGCCAGCAGCATGATGCTGTATGCAAAAGAGATGTTGCTTAAAAGTTTTTAATCTATATCATCTCAATTGGAAAAGAGTAAAAACCAAATTTTATTTGAACACAGGAAAAGTCAAATCAGGAAATAGGCCACAGAAACAAAAGGTCCAAAGAACAAATTACATATATTGGCTTATATATATATAAATTTTGTCTCTAGATACTTATTGCTTAATACTTCACAAAGGCCAGAATGACAGAAAAGGCTTTTTTTTTTTTTTTTTTAAGCTGCCAAGCTCCCCTTTTTACCCTTAATCTATTTTAAGGCTCATTTCCCTGATCAAATTAATCAGCACTACCAGAGACAATTAGGACATCCTGCTCCCTTGACCACTAATCAATCCCTGCTCTCTCCCGATCCTGTATCAATATTTGTGATGTTCACAGCCCCTCTGGGACACGGACTGTAAGCACCAAGCTCATTTAGATTAGGTCTCATTATCACTGCTGGCTCTGTGGATGAAGGTCCACCACACGAGGCTGCCCCATCCCACAGGTTACTAATGCACTGCCGTGTCTCACTCACATCCTCCCTCTGATTAGATGGAGCAGCTAAATAACATGAGAGTTCCTTCAGCCTTTGTGCCCTGCATCTAGATGAAGAGCAAATCAATAGGAGATGATTAATTACACACTCAGCTATTATAACAACAATAAGATTTTTAGTTCTTGCCGCTATCAAAGTGCAGCGCCTGTCGTTTACCTTCCACTTAACCATCCTCCTCCCTCCCCCAGGACAGAATAATCTATTTTGGTTGGCAAGAAAAGCAGAAGATAAACATGCACATCCAG